ACAGTTTGACTGCAAGCATGAGTTGGGCCCACTACTAGAAAAACCAAAAGATGCTGGTGGTGGGGAGAGGAGCAGCAGGTGAACAAGCAGGGTGAATAACCTCACCTACTGCACTTGCTTGCTCAGGCAGGACACCCACCTTTTCCACGTGCAGGGCCAGCTTCACACCATTGTGCAGCCAGGACAGGGCCACGATGGGGTCCCCTTCCACCAGGCTGCCCACGTGGCTCTCCCAGCTGTTGGCCAGGTGGTCCGCCATGCTCCAGCACTTGATCTGCCCATCAGCATCAGCCGACAGGAGCCGGGAGCCTGTAGGGGGCAAACCCTCACCGTGGGCAGGGGCAGTTACTGGTAGTACATCCAGGGCCCACAGGAGCAGGCCTCGGGGCAGTGAAGCAGGGGAGTGGCACAAGGGTGCTCCTGAAACAATGTGCGTGTGGGGAATGTGAAGAGTCGTGGCCACAAAGCCACAGGTTGAGGCTTCCAGTCCCAGCTGTGTATTCTGGGGACGTGACCAGGAAGAGTGAGCATGTTGCCTTGAGATTCAGGATCAAGGATGAACATCACTGTGTCCCTCAGCCATGCAGGACCACCCGCCCCCGGCCCATCCTCACCTGACTGGTCCCACTCGAGGCAGGTGATGGCCTCGCTGTGTTCTGAGTTGACGGAGTGCACATCCCAGGGGTGCTCTGTATCCAGGATATGGATCATGCGGGTGAGGTCTGCAGAGGACAGCACACAGTCAACACAGCAACCATAACAACCCTGAAGCTTCTCATGACCCCAGGAGGGCTCAGGGAGGAATCCAGGGAACATCCCACCCACGGGGATGGCAGAGGGCTGCTCTGCTGTTGACTATGTAGACAGCCCCGGTGCTAACAAGGAGACCAAAGCAGGCCTGTGACCTTGCCACAAGCGTGGTCATGTTTTTAAAAGAGACGTAGAAAAAACTGGAAGAAAATGATCCCCAAATGTTAATGGTGGGCATCTCTCCATGTTTTTTTTTTCCTTATGCTAAATTTCTCTACTTTTCTAATTTTCTCCAACAAGCACACATTGTTTAAACAACAGACAGAAAATAGGTCCCAGCAAAGTAATTTCGAGGCTTCCAAAAACAAAATAGTAACATGTATGGTCTGGAAAACTGCGCATCAAGTCTCCAAGCCCTAGGGGACCACACATCCCTTGCCCCATTCCATCCCAAAGGGGTGATTCCAGGGTCTTCCCCCCTACCCCACCCCAGCACCAGGTGTAGGAGAGCAGTGCATCTGCCCTTTGCACACCTGTGAGGTTAGGGTCCTCACTACCCCCAGTTGTAGATGAGAAAACCCTGAGAGGGCCCACATGGGTGAAGGGTGACTCCCAGGCAGGGCTGGAGACCCAGTTCCCCAATGGGGACACCAGGCGAGGGGGGCTGGGCTGGGGGGCAAGGAAGCACACCTTGGTCATCATTTCGAAGGTCAGTGGTGAAGGCAATGAGGTTGCGGCAGGACCAAGCACAGGCCAGGGGCACTGACGGGCAGTGGGTACTCTTGGGCCATCTCTCCCACTCGCAGACGTAAGCCAGATCCATTGTGCCCACATGCCACAGGTCACACACCGAGGATGAGGATGGTCAGCAGCTCCTGAGGGAGGAGGTTGACACGGACATTCTCTGAGTCCCTGCAGGATGCCAAGTTCCACGCTGGATGCTGGCTTACCACAGGGAATGATATGAACCCAATCCCTGCCCTTGGGTCTCGTGTGTTGTGTAAGGGAAGCTGCATTTTAAACATGGAGGGAGGGGCGCCTGGGTGGCTCAGTCAGTTAAGCAACTGCTTTTGGCTGGGGTCATGATCTCAGGGTCCTGGAATCAAGCCCAGTGTCGGGTTGCCTTATCAGCGGGGAGTCTGCTTCTCCCTCACCCTCTGCCTCTGCCCCTGACTCATGCTCCCTCTCTCTCTCTCAAATAAATACAAAAAATCTTTTAAAAAATAAAATAAATAAACAAACATGGAGGAACAGGGACGCCTAATCAGAAAGACAACATCCCAGTGTACTTGTGAGGAAACAAGGCATGCAGACGTCTGGGGAAAGTTCACTGCAGGTGGAGGGAACACCTGTGCAAAGACCCAGAGGACGGATGGCCCCTCGGGTGTTGGAGGAGTGGCCAAGCCGCCCATGTGGCTGGAGCAGATGAGCGAAGGGAAAGGGGGCAAGGTGGGGGCAGGAGGTGACGGGGGCGAGTCCTACAGGGCTCTGGAGGTTTTCACCCTAGTGGGAGGGGGGGCCCCCAGGGGGCTGTGAGCTATCTACATTTGAACAGGACCCCTCTGGCGGTCTGGAGTGCACAGCCAGGGATGGGGTGAAGGTGAATGCACCGGTCCAAGTAAGCAATGATGAGGGCAGTGTGCATAGAGGTCGGGCCCTGGGTCTTCCTGGAGGAAGAGCCCACAGATACGCAAGAGCAGCGAGGACACCGCCTCCAGGGGAGGCAGAGGTGCAACTTAAAGAAGTCTAACAAAAGTAATGATGGTGAACTTTTCCTCGAGGCTCTCTACGTGCCAGCATCGATCATAGGTTACTTTCCTTTCTTTCACAGGAGTCCGGTGAGATTACAAGTGCGATCAGCCCCATTTTTCTCAATCACTACCCCCAGGTCCCCCTCCTTCTCCAAGCCCTGACCAGGGACACCAAGGCCCCGCCCACAAGCGCCTGCGAGTCCTTAAGTCCCGCCCCCGAAGCCTCCATCCCTAAGCCCATCCCCTACAATCCTTGCTTTCGGAAGGCCCCTTGAGCCCCCAGGCCCGGCCTAAACTCTCAGACCCATCCCAGAGACCCCAAACCCTTCGCCTGCCAGCATCTACCGCCGTACACAGGGCCCCCCGGTCGCGCCACCAAATCCCCCGTTACCCTGGAGCCCCGCCCCCCGGCCCCGCCCGGCCTCCCCCGGCTCTCCGCATCCGACCCCAGCTCGCCCCCGGCTTCCCACGAGTTTCCGCCACAAGCCCCAGACCCCGCCCGCCCCCGGCCGCGTGCCCAGCACCCGCCGTCCCCCGAGGCCCGCCCTCTGACCCCGCAGGCCCCGCCCCCGGCCCGCTTGTCCCGCCTTCTCCGGGCTGCGTTCCCCGCAGCTGCGGGCGCCGGCCGGAGGCTGGCCGACCTCTCCGGCCCCCGCAGCCCCGCGCTCACCGAGCCGGCCCAGGCGCCAAGCCGAGCAGGCAGCCGCTGCCTGCACTCGCCCTAGCTCCCCGGCTCCGGCACCGCCATCTTCCCCGGGACCAACGAGTTGCCCGCGCAGCGCGGCCGCTTCCCAGAGACTTCTGGGAAGGCGGCGACTCAGCCCCGCTTCCGGTATATTTGCATACGGCTTTTAGTGGCGTCCCAGAAGCCACCTGAGTTATATTTGGCAGAACAGTGAACGCTTTCTCACTTCAGTGAAGGATCCCATTTCGTTATTCTATATGTTGTACGAATCTAGAAAAGAATGTGTCGCTGACCCGCTTTAAAAGAACTCACCCTTTGTGTAAAGTCATTTATTTTAAGCACTATAAATAGTGCCTGGGTCAGCCAATACACTGTGCTCGCTTCGGCAGCACATATACTAAAATTGGAACGATACAGAGAAGATTAGCATGGCCCCTGCGCAAGGATGACACGCAAATTCGTGAAGCGTTCCATATTTTGCTCTCCTTTGACATCAGCGGGTGGGGAAACTGAGGCTCTGCACGTCGAGGCTTTTACCCCGCGGAGGACCGGTCCCGGCGATCCCGGCACAGGGGCGGGATGACGCAGCGCCGTGCCCTAGCTGCAGCCAAAACGGGGGGCGGTCCTCGGCGCCCCGCGAGGCTGGCCCTTCCCTCGGGGGACCTGGGATTCCGTCTCTCGCGCTGGCCACTCAGGTGCCCCCTGTGCGCTGTGCCACCACGTGGACGTGCATTCTTTAACGTCTGTCTTTAAACTTCTAAAATGTCTGCTAAGACGGGTGCAGCACACCCAAGCGTCCACATCTGGGTTTCTACACACAAGCCTAGCTGGACCATCTTGTGGTGCCAGAAGGGACGGGGCTCAAAAAATCAAGCCCCACGATGATCGGCTGCCTCAGACACCGGCTGAACCCGGAACAATCTGGACGACGGAGTAAAGTGGTATTGGGTCGTAACCCAAACTAGAAAGTAAATCCTCATGTGTCCCAACTGATATCAACGGCTGAGTAAGTGAACACCTGAGGGAGAAGAGACCAAAGTCCCCGCAGGATTCCCAGTAATGAACACAGATCTTCTGCCCCCCAGGGAGGCGGCTCTCAGCTCCCACCCCCGTGCGTCAGCGGCACCCCGAGGACAGTGTGGCGGGGAAGGAGCTTCCCAGGAGCGAAGCCGGACCAGCACAGCCGGCCAGGGGACCAGGGCCAGCGTCCGCAGGCAGAAGCCGCCTGGGCAGCAGGGACCCCTGATGGGACGCACCCGGACTGCGGACGTCCTGCAGGACCCCCGGCCAGTCCCAGACACACACACAGGGAAGACGATGGGAAGGAACACAGGGAGGCCCGGGGAAGACAGAGGCGGGGGCTGCAATGATGCGGCCACAAGCCAAGGAGCGCCAGGGACCCCCGGAAGCAGGAACACACAAGAAGGACCCTCCCCTGGAGCCTCAGGGCCCTGCCTGGTTGAGTTTGGACTTCTGGCTTCCAGGACTGGGAGACAATAAATTCCTGTGGTTTTAAGCCACAGCCCCTTCGTTGTGGCCACGCCGGGAGGCTCACACAAGGGACTTTTTGGACTACTGACAGCCTGGAAGTGGCAGAGCTGGGGTTTGAACCTGGGCGCCTGGGAAGGGGACAAGCCAGGGCAGCAGAGCCAATGGACCCAGGGCTCCCAGCAGCATCTCCCCATACACCTGCCTCACAGGTGGGGTGTCACTCAGTGTGAAGCTTCATCCCCTGAGGCCTGCAGCCCTCGTTGACCAGGACCTAAGCACCTCCTGAGCACCCATTGGAGGAAAGGAAAACCCCACAGCTGGAGACCAGAGCACCAGAAATTTATTGAACTCTCCACTTTTCCCAAAGCACAACCAGCCACACACACGGGAGGGGTGTCCCCCAGCTCTGCTCTGTGGGACACACCAGGGTGACCAGTGCGAGGACACCCCAAGGCAACAGCCCAGAGCTGGGCAGGGGGGAGGGGGCAAGGGGACACGAAGAGGGGAATGGGGCAGTCCGAGGGCAGAGGCTTCTGGCTGGAAGTCCCGATCCCCCAGTATGAAGGGAGGAGGTGTGCAGAGCAGACAGGGCCACAAGAGCCACCAAAAGCCACCAGGGGAGAACAGCACACATTCCAAAAAGATGGTAAGACCAGCCTTTAAGATGTAGCTTCTGTCCTAGGTTGCGGGACACACACACACACACACACACACACGCACGCATGCGCGTGCACACCACAAAACACTCCTGGAAAAAGGGGCAGAGCCCCAGAGACGCCCCCCAAGCCAAAAACTGGGAAGGGGGGGTTAAGCAGGGACTAGAACAAAGTCCCCCGGTTTATCAGTTGGGGCAAGTTTTTGGTTTTTCTTCCCAAAAGGGAAATTTAAAAATCTACAACAAATCATGCCAAATTCATTAAAAGTGATAAAAACCCAGCCTCTCACTCCTCGCTTAAGCTTCAAACGGGGCTGGAAAAGCAGAACGAAGGAACACGGAGATGACCAGGCCGGGTCTCCTCGCCCGAATACAAGTCCCAGAGCGGGGAGCTGCAAGGCCAGGCCAGTCCCGGGTGACCCCAGCCCCCAGCGTTTATCTGGGAGAGGTGGACAGGGAAGGGGCCAGAGTGAGAGAGAGCCACCCGAGGGGAAGAGCGTATCTACAGGGACAAATTCTCAAAATAATAAAGATACTGTAGCAAATGGTATCTGAGGTCTGGGCAAGGGGGAGGCAGCGGGGGGGGGGGGGGGGCGGGGGGGCTGTCATCAGCTGCACTGTTCCAGGTACGCGGACAGGAGCAGCCCTGGTGGCAGGAAGTCCAGGTGCCGATTGCTGACCTTCATCTGCCTCTTGCCCTCCAGGTCAGCACCTGTGAAGGGGGCAAGGAGGGCAGCAGTGACCGGACCACGGGAGTCCTGGGCCCCCAGGTCACCACCTCCATCCCTGCCCTCATGGGGGACCCCAGCCCCCACCAGCCTCCCTCTCCCTCACTTTCCTTCACTCCCAAACCTCAACTAGCCCAGCGCACCCCAAGCTCGGTCCCATTTCTGGGCCTTTGCCTGGGCCATGCCAGCTCCCTTACTCCCCATCTGGTCAGGGCCCAACCTCCTCTGGGTTCAGGCCTTGGCTCAACTCCGGCAGAGAAGCAACCCCCCAGCCCAGCCCTTCTGTCCCGAGTCTGTGGGAACAAAGAGAGGTATGGGGGCTGCAAATCCACCAAGGGAGGACTTAGGAGGAACCATCCTAGGGTTGCCATGGAAACCGTCTCCTCAGCAACTCTGGGCAGGAGGCGCCCATGAGGAGCAAGGACCCAATGGGGCACCCAGAGGGAGCAAGGGCCTGTGAGGACCCTCCCTAGGGGACTGGTCAATGTCACATGTGTGGCACAGTGGGAGGGGCTACAGCGAAAGAGAACTTTGCCTCTCGTCCTGGGGGCCCGGATGCCACACAGGCTCCTCTCTCCCTGCGGCCCTGAAGATGCAGACTGAGGAGCATCTGTGCCCACAGCATCACCCAGCATGGAGCCAGGCGCACGAGGGGCCTCTGATGAATGAATGCATCATCGTTCATCATTCGTCATCATCAGTCCCACCACCCACCATTTGCTCATGCCGCTCCTCCTCCCCGAGAGGCCTCCCCCTGAGTAGCCAGACCCTGAGTGGCTCTGGCCTTGGCTTCCCTGGCCTGCACCGGCCAGGTGGGGTCCTGCGGGCCAGCAGCACTTACTGGCTGAGATGAGGTCCATGTACTGGCAGATGGCGTGAAGCAGGAGCCTCTCGAAACTGGAGGGGAATGGATGGTAAGTGGTCGCGGGCCAGGGCCAGACCCCTGGCGAAGCACACAGCGCTCACTCCCACCCAGTCACCTGTTGTCCAGCATGGCCGTGTACACGGCCTGGGGAGACACAGAGAAGAACCTCAGCAATCGCTCCTCCCAGGTTTCCAGCGTTTCCTGCAGGAGAAACGGGCCTAGGGGTGAGGCCAACCGTGAGACTGTGGACAAGCTGTCCAGGCCCCGGCCCAGGGCTGCTTTTGGAGCCCGAAGCCCTAGCTTCAAACGTGGCCTTTGACCTGCTACTTCAGGCTACCTCACCCTTTGCAAAGACAGCAGGGCTGAGATATCGCCATACTGGTGAACTCCTGTGCCTTCTACCTGGTGAACTCCTACACATCCTGCAGTACCGACCTGCATTGTCCCTGCCCCGCCCCCCCCCCCGCCCCCCCCCCGGGGAAAGCCCTTTCCCAGCCCTGGTTCCTGCACGCTGATCACACTGGTCTGGTCTGTATTCTGCCTCGTCTCCACCAACACCACCTGCACTGGATAAAAGATCTCCCATCACACCACCACCAATTCAGAAGGTGAGGAAAAAAAAAAGCCATCAAAAAAAACAAGCAGGTGGAGAAATATGAGGCCTGGCCTGGTATTCACCATGGGGATGCGGCTCCGCTTGAGGACGGCTCTCAGACGCCTGCTGATGCGCTGGAAGCAGTCACGGGGCGTGTAGGCCGGGTCCTCTACAAGATTTCCTTGCGTGGGGCAGCCGCTGGAGCAAGCCTCTGGCCTGCCCACAAGCCAGGCCCCTCCGCACCAGTCCTGGGCACCGCCCCCACACCAGGCTCCTCCCTGCCCATTCCCCCCGGGGCACCGCCCCCGCACAGGCTCCTCCCCACCCGTCCCCGGGGCACCGCCCCCACACCAGGCTCCTCCTCGCCCATCCCCCGGGGCACCGCCCCCGCACAGGCTCCTCCCCACCCGTCCCGGGGCACCGCCCCCACACAGGCTCCTCCCCGCCCATCCCCCCGGGGCACCGCCCCCGCACAGGCTCCTCCCCACCCATCCCCCGGGGCACTGCCCCCTCTCCCCATCCCCCTGGGCACCTCCCCCACACCAGGCTCCTCCCTGCCCATTCCCCCCGGGGCACCGCCCCCGCACAGGCTCCTCCCCACCCATCCCCGGGGCACCGCCCCCACACCAGGCTCCTCCCCACCCATCCCCGGGGCACCGCCCCCACACCAGGCTCCTCCCCACCCATCCCCGGGGCACTGCCCCCACACCAGGCTCCTCCCTGCCCATTCCCCCCGGGGCACCGCCCCCGCACAGGCTCCTCCCCACCCGTCCCCGGGGCACCGCCCCCACACCAGGCTCCTCCCCGCCCATCCCCCGGGGCACCGCCCCCACACCAGGCTCCTCCCCGCCCACTCCCCCCGGGGCACCGCCCCCGCACAGGCTCCTCCCCACCCATCCCCGGGGCACCGCCCCCACACCAGGCTCCTCCCCGCCCATCCCCCGGGGCACCGCCCCCGCACAGGCTCCTCCCCGCCCATCCCCCGGGGCACCGCCCCCGCACAGGCTCCTCCCCACCCGTCCCCGGCCCGCCCAAACCATGATCAGCCAGGCCCCCCTCCGTTCCTCAGATCCTCCCAGCCTCCCATCTAGCCCCACACCTCTCCGTCGGTCCTCCCCGCGACCAGGCCCCCTCCTCCGCGTCTTGCTCTTGCCCTCATCCTCCAGGTAGCGGAGAACCCTTTCCTGTTCCTCCCCAGAGCGGTTCATGAAGTCATTCCAGACCTAGAAGAGAGGCAGGCAGGACCCAGGCTAATGACTGCGTGCCTCCAGCCCCAGGTTCTCCATTTAGCCAATGGGCACAGAGGGCCAGAGTGTGGGACATACTCCTCGTAGACACATCTGCCCACTGGGCTTGGCCAGGAGTTTATGGGGTACCTGCAGACCTGCCTGGGGCAGGGGAGTGACGTGGGCCAAATACGCCCCCATTGGACTCAATCATTCCCAATGATGGGCAGATGAATCAGGAGTGCTGGGAAGTTCTGGGGGTGTGGTGGGAGCTCTGGCTTGGTCTGGGGACCCCGAGGGAAGCAGAGAGGGTGTTCATCAAGGGACCAGCGGGGGATGGGTGCAGACGGGCACTCCTGAGGGAGGGACCAGCACAGGCCAGGTGTGGCGAGAACAAGAGAGGGGCCAGTGCGGCCAGAGCAGAGGGAGGAGGAGGGCACGGGAGCCCCACCTCCATGTAGGTCTCATTGCTGCAGGCCTCTGCGAAGATCCCGGGTGCTGCCGGGGGGGCCAGGTCCCCATCGTCCAGACCAGCTGTGCCCCCGTCTGTCTCCAGCAGGGTTAGGAGGTACTGGGCTAGATGGAAACAGATGGTCTCTGGGCTGGGGGGGGTGGCACTTGGGGCCCCCCAGTCTCCATAGAAACCCCCGGCCTCTGCATTTAGGGCCTTTACCCTCTGGCTCACACCAGTCTCCCCACCTCCAAGCTCCAACTGTCTTTCCCAGAAGGCAGAGAAACCATCTAGCCTCCTCCTCCAGAACTCCTACTCCTCCCTGGCTTGTTGAACTCCTAGACATCTTTGAAAACCCAAGCTCCAATGCCCAGAGCTCCTTCAGGCCCAGCCCCAGCATTGCCCAGCTCAGGGTCAGACTCATGGCAAAAGCAACAGATAATACCAACATACACACCATTCTCATGTGAGCCCTAGGAACCCCCAGGAGGTGCCCCCAAGCCCTGCTCACTGTTCTCTAGGCGCTGGAGGCTCTTCCGCCCCTTGGCCTTGGGCACGAGGTCTGAGTTCCGCACAGCCTGGTTGATGAAGTGTTGTTTCCGCTTGGACGCTGACAGCCTCTTCACCTGGGAGCCAGCTAGAGCGGGCAGGCAGCCCGGAAGGGGCCTGTGGGCCGGGGTTGGGGTGGGGAGGCACGCCTCAGGGCCAACACAGGCCAGGACCCCCAGGCAGAACCCCACAACAGCCGCTGTACCATAGCCATCACCTGCTTGGTTTCCCTCAGCAATGGGGAGCTCTGTGGAGCCCTAGACCCTTCAAATTTCATTTTGTTTCATGGTCACATCACCCAGGAGGCCTGTACAACTGTGAAGACAGATTAGGAAACTGAGGCCCGGAGAGGAGAAGACACTTGCCCAAATTCACATTGTGGGTGGGTGGCCAAGAAAAGCTTCTCCCCTCTCCCCCAAGCTTCCAGATCGTAACTGCAAGCTGGCGGGACCCAGAGTCTCCAGGATTTGACCACCACCCTCCTCTGGGAGTTTCTCAGGAGACTTGATTTAATGGAGCATCTCCCATGCCAGCAGCAGATAAACCAGGAAACAGCCTCCAGAAGCTCACGGTGATGCCTGAGCCCATCTGCCTCAAGTCCCCAGAGGCCCCCTGAAATGTGCCCAGAGGTGGGGCTGGAGTGGCCCCCTCGGAACTAATCTGTCCTCCTCCAGGCAAATGGCATTAATGGTGGAGATGGATTAGCAGCTTGGCCGGGACTCCCACTGGGGACTCGAGGGCCACCTGCAGGCACAGGGAGTAGGAGGGGGTGCTAGATGGAAATGTCCTGGCAAGGAGTTCCCACCTTCCTGGTAAGCCCCCGATGACCCCCAGACCACAGGCTGAGAGCACGTGGCCTCCTTGCCGCCCCGCCAGCATGCCGGGCACAGTCCCACCTGGGGGCTTCTGCACAGCCAGTGCCCCTGCCCGGTGCATGCTCCCCCAGACTCTCAATGGCTCACTCACTCATCTCCTTTGGCTCTGTTCAAACCTCCCAAGAGCCCCCAACCCCCTGTATAAACCTCACTGCTTTGTTTTTCTGATCACAGTACATTCTACTTCATTGAAAACTGCCCACCTCACCCACGACACGGTAATCCCCACGCAGACATTCACAGCCATGCCGGGGACGTGGGATCGGTTCTCAAAATAATCCCACGATTCCACAACTGAGTGGAACCGAGAGTCCAAAATACCCCTCCAAACTCTCCTAGTACCCCAAGTTCCCAGGACAAAAACTACAAACAGAAGTGTGGCCTCTCCCCTCCAAACCATGAAACTCTAGGACGGTGGAGACAAGTACCCTTGTAGGGGTTAGGAAGGAAGCCAGTGCTCCTCAGGGTCTGTACATATGTAAAGCGTCCCCAGCATTAAGTATTGGTACGATTATAGGCTGGCCATTACATCTTGGTCAAAAAGCAAACAGGCTGATGAGACTCCGCACTGCCTGACCGTCACGGTGGGGCAGGTGAGCAGCCCAAGGCTCAGTAGTTAACAGTTTCCACCAAAATCCATGCCGTTGCCTCATGAATAAACTCACACATGAACAAGCACCCCTCAACAGGAAGAGGCACTGGGTGGACCCTGGAATCTCGGCCCTGAGTTCAAATCCCAGCTAGGATGCTTCGCTGTGTTACCTAGAGCCTCAGCTCACTCTCTGCAAAGTGAAGATAAAAAGGTGCCTGTGGGTCTGAAAGGGGACACTCAGAGCCAAGAGGGCCAGGACAGGCACCCTCCCCCACTGACTCAGGCACCACCTGCTTGGTTTCCTCCTGTTATGGGGAGCTCACCCCCTATGTCACACTGTTGATCACAGCATCATCCCTGGACTGAATGTTCATTTTCACCATCACGATCATGCCAGGAGGCCAGTGATATCAAGTTGATGCCCATTATACAGAATTGCAACTGAGGCAGAGTCACGAAACCGAGATCCCACCGTTGCAAAGAAGGCAGCAAAGACAGGACGAGGCAAATCAAGTCAGCACAGAGCCAGTGACTGTGAGGCTGGCTCCAACCTGAGGGCTGCCTCCCTGAGGCTCGAGCCCCCCCACCATGAGCCCCAGCTCACCCACGGCCTCCCCAGGGCTCCAGTGCTTGTGTCTCTACCCTGGCAGCTGGACCGAGTCCAGAATAGCAGCCTGCTGGGGCCGATAACAAAGTCCGCATCCGGGGGGACTTATCAGGAGATGTCAGAGCAGGGCTGAGCCCTCGGGACGTGGGGCTCCCCCGTCACCTCGTGAGGGTGGCAGAGCCAGGATTTGAACCTGGCCTGAACGGGAACACTCCCCTCGAACCATTCAACCTCCTGCTTCTCTGAGCGCACAGAGTTCCACCCCCCTACCTAGTGAAGTCCCAGCTGGGCCCTCCCCTGCGCCACCACCATGCGTGGCTCCCCAGAACACTCAGGGCAAGCCCAGCCCTGCCCTGTCCTGTAGCGGGAACACAGGGGTCTGTGCCTGGCCCCACAGGCTTTCGGAGGGTTCACCACCACCTCGTGGGCCTCATGCACTGAGCTGAGCACCGCGAATTGAGTCCCACCACCAACTCAAGCTTGCTGACTTCAACCAAATTCCAGCAGAAGGCAAGAAACATGTGGCCTCCAGGGTGAACTGCTGGGCCTGGACCCCCACTCAAGAAAGAGAGGACAGGGCGCCTGGGTGGCTCAGTTGGTTGGGCGACTGCCTTCGGCTCAGGTCATTATCCTGGAGTCCCGGGATCGAGTCCCGCATGGGGCTCCCTGCTCAGCAAGGAGCCTGCTTCTCCCTCTGACCCTCCCCCCTCTCATGTGCACTCTCTCTCTCGTTCTCTCTGTCTCAAATAAATAAAAAAATCTTTAAAAAAAAAAGAAGAAGAAGAAAAGAGAGGACAGCAGAAGCGGGCAGGACAGAAGCAGCAGCCCACAAATACCCAGCAAATCAGATTTGTAATGAAGGTTGAGGGTCCTCTGCTCCAGACCAGGAACAGTCTACCTCAGGGCCTTTGCACATGTTGAGCCTTCTGCCTCAAGTACACTTTCCCAGCACATTCTGGTCTCTGTTCAGATGTCACCTCCTGGGAGAAACCACCCTGCTCCTGACTAGCCCAATCAGCTGGTCCATGTATCTGTTTACCATTTACTCCTCACCTCCCACATCAGACACTTACAAAGAGGAGTGTCCCCAGCACCTGCCCAAGGGCCAGTTCAGCTACTTCCCAGGCCACCCAAAGAGACCACTTTACAGATGGGGAAACTGAGGACCCAGACAGGGCACCTTTGGCTTCCTGGACCTGACAGGACTCAGGAAGTGTCTGCATTGTGAAAGTTGTTTGTGCCCAATGAAGGTGGACAGGCCCAAGGTAGAAACACCTGCTAAATCAGGTTTGAGTTTGGGGAGAATAGGCCCCTGTGTCTCCCCGAATTCTGTTCCCTGCAGGTTTTGAAATGAGGCCTTTGGACACCTGTTCTCTTTGGCTAAACTCTACTTTCTCTGGCACCAGCCCCCTCCCCCAGAAACAGGCAAGAGAGGAACCTATTTCCCAAAGCAGGAAACCAAGGAGGGGAAGGCTCAGAGCAGAGAGGTGACTCAGGCTGGGGTGGGGCCAGCTGGGGCCCCCAGCAGTGACCACACCCCCGGGGACACACAGGGGTGAAGGAACACTGGGGTACATCAGTGGGGACCCACTGGCAGGTTAATACCCACTTTGCATGGGTAAGGTCCTGTAGAAGAAGGTAAATAACCACATCTGTAGAGACCCACATGGCTTCTGGGTAAAGGCCCAGGGGGAAATAACAAGGAGGTAATAATAAGTGTAATAATGAAACAAATAAAATAATAAGATGTTTCAGACAATAGTTAAAGAATGGATGCTCCCTGGGGCTTCTGGGTTGCTCAGTTGGTTAAGCCTTTGACTTTGGCTTGGGTCATAATCTCGGGGTCCTGGGATTGAGCCCCACACGCCCCCTGCTCAGAGGGGAGTCTGCTTCTCCCTCTGCCACTCCCCCCCTGCTCATTCTCTCTCTGTCAAATAAATAAAATCTTAAAAAAAAAAAAAAGAAAAGAAAAAAACGGATGCTTCCTTCTGCTGAGTACATGGTCGTTGACCTCCCCCCACCCCATCCCAGCCATTCTGAGAAGAGGCCACTATTATATCTCATTTTACAGATGGGGAAACTGAGGGATATACTGCCCAGGCGGCTGGGCCAGCACACAGAGGAGGCAGTGGTCTCCTTGCCCCCAACAAACCAGGACCACAGGGTGGATGGCATGGGTTTCTGCGGGAACACCCTGATTAAACAGGAATCTGCCCCAGACCCTCTGGGGTCTGGACCCAGTGGCTCCACCCTCTTCGGCTCCTGCTGACCCAGGATTTTAAGCACCCCACACATTTAATCTGTAAAGTACTCAGGAATAAAGAGCCCTGTCTACTCAGGAGGTGGGGGGCTGATAATCCCCTCAGGGAAGCGCAGGACTGGCTGTGGGGTACCTACCCAGCTTGGGGACAAGAAGAGCCGCTTGTGGGTAAATACCCAGAGCAACACCCAAGCGGTTTCCAGGGACACCGCGCGCAGCGGCACCACCTCACCCGAGCCAGTGACAAGGCGCATGAGACCCCCCAGGGCGAGTCAATACCCGGGCACGGGGTTGGGGGGCACCTCTGGGCCCCGCAGGCATGTAAGCGCATAAACGGGGTCTGCCCCCTCTGCCCAAATACTCGGGCGTGTCGGGGATGGGATTTCCCCGGGGGGCAACGAAGCCCCCTACCCCCACACCCACCGCGGTCTGGGGTCTCCTCAAGGAAAAGGGGCGGGGCGGCCTGGGGCTGCAGCCAGACAGGAGGGGAGAGTGGAGGGGAGGGGGTGCTGGAGTCCCAGGAGGCATGGCCCGCCCGCCCCGCCGCGCTCACAGCGTCCGCCGCCCGCCTGGGGCGCTTCCCACCGCCGCCGCCGCCTCCTCCGAGCCGCCCTCCGGGTTCTCCAGCGCAACCATGGCTCGGTTTGTGTTGTCGCCGCCGCCCGGCAGGGCCTTCTCGGGGCCGAGCAGGAAGTGACGGGCGCCCAGAGGCGGGCCGGGGCGGAGCCTGGAGGCCGGACGCACCGGGCGGGGGCCGAGGCCACGCAGCCAGCCAGATCCCGGGCTGCGGGCGGCGATCCCCCAGCCCAGGGGACAAACGGGACAACCGAGGCGGAGAACGGGGACCGCGGCCAAGCCCCCAGGCTGCGGGTGTGGGATGGGGGGCACCCAGCCCGGAGGAACAGACGGAGAAACTGAGGGGGGAGGTAGCGTGATCCTTGCGCCTGAAGCCGGGCTGCGGGGGGGCGGGGCACCCAGCCTCCAGTAGATGGCCGGGGAAACTGAGGCCTGGGTAACCAGGAAAGAGGGGGACATCCGTTTCAGGAGCGGGGGACAGATGAAATGACCCAAGCCCCAGACCACCCAGCCCCCAACACCAAGTTGGCTTTTCCTTCCACCAGCCCCTCCCAGCCCTCTGTTCCAGTGCAGCCTGGGGAGCATGGGCTGGGTGCCTCAGTTTACTCATCTCTAAAAGTAGGACAACATCCCACCCCCTTCCACCTTTAAGGATTTGTTCATTTCACAAACGCCCCCTGTGGGCAGGGCCCAGTGATGAGCTCTGGGGATGCAGCAGGGACCAAGAGAGACCCCTTCCCCACTGGGTGGGTAGGGAAGAGGAGTTCTCTGAGAGAGGGACTGGTAAGCTGCAAAGTGGGAAGGGCGTGTCAGATAGAGAGAACAGCCAGTGCAAAGGCCCTGTGGCATCCAGAGTGACCAGAGCAGTGTGATGAGTGAGCACAAGGGGGATGGAGGTAGACGGCAGAGGGTGGATCCGTGAGCCTGGAGGCCTGGTTTTTGTTCAGAGGCAATGGGAGCTATGAGAGGGTTTAGAGAAGAGAATTAAACCTACTGTGGAATCTAGAATCCACCCTTCCGTCTACAACAAGAGTGGGGATCCAGGTCCATGAGGAAGAGTGGGGATCCAGGACCATGTCAAGTGACACCACGGGGATACAACCCACCACATGCAGCCTGTTAGAAATTGTGCAGGTCAGGGGCGCCTGGGTGGCTCAGTTGGTTAAGCCACTGCCTTCAGCTCAGGTCATGATCCTGGAGTCCCTGGATCGAGTCCCGCATCGGGCTCCCTGCTCAGCAGGGAGCCTGCTTCTCCCTCTGACCCTTCCCCCTCTCATGCTCTCTCTCTCTATCTCATTCTCTCTCTCAAATAAATAAATAAAATCTTTAAAAAAAAAGAAAAAGAAATTGTGCAGGTCAAATGACCCGATTGCTTTAACAAATAAAGAGCAACAGGTAAGGAAGGAGTTATGATAAGGAGGAGGAGCTGCTAAAAGACCCCAAAAAGCACATGCTGTGTGACATCACATAGATAAATGTGAAAAGAGGCAAAAGGACTCAGTGGTGATACAAATCCCAGGAGAGGGCACCTCTGGGCAGAGTGATGGGCAGGGGGCCCTGGGGGCCGGGAGCCTTTGGTTCCCTGGTCTGGCCCGTGATGACTAACTGCTCCAGAAATGTGCTAATTCTAGAGGATGCAGTGTGGGCCTCACCCTGATTCTGGAGTCTCCTTCCCAGGAAACCTGTGTGGTACCTTCCTAACACCCTCCTGGACTCCCGGACTGCCCAGGAGCTGCCGTGGCCACTGCTGCCCACGGTCCCCACCTCAAAGGTCCTCTCCCAGGCCCTTAGACTCAACAACATCCCCCCAAAGAGACCCTCCATCCTAGCAACCTTGGGTCTCCTCATCCTAAGCTGTTCCTCATTCCCTTTCTTTCTTTCTTTTTTTTTTTTTTAAAGATTTTATTTATTTATTTATTTGACAGAGAGAGACACAGCGAGAGAGGGAACACAAGCAGGGGGAGTGGGAGAGGGAGAAGCAGGAGGAGTGGGAGGGGGAGAAGCAGGGGGAGTGGGAGGGGGAGAAGCAGGGGGAGTGGGAGGGGGAGAAGCAGACTCCCTGCTGAGCAGGGAGCCAGATGCGGGGCTCGATCCCAGGACCCTGGGACCATGACCTGAGCTGAAGGCAGACGCTTGACGACTGAGCCACCCAGGCGCCCCTCTCATTCCCTTTCTGATTTTCTAGACCATTTTGAAGGTGGAAAGAGGGTGAACGGGGAACGCCCCCTCTCCAAGGCTCTGCGCTCCCACTGGAGACGACTGGCGTGCCTCAATGCCAGGCGTTTCCCGGTTTCTCCCCTCCCCCACCTCTTAGTCGTGTTGTCGTCAACAGTGGCATCTTTTTGTCTCTGCGTGGTACTCCGTGATAGCAGGAACATCCTGGCACACTGAGGCATGCCTCGTGGGTAGTATCTGGGGTCCATTTCTGGGTGGGGGGCCAACAGTGTCCTTGCAAACTGCCCTCCACCTGGCTCCTACCACCAGGGGCACAGGTGCCCGTGTTCCCAGTGGGAGTATCTGCTACCCGCTGCCAGTTAGGTGGGGGGCGGACTCTTCCATTTACAGCAAGGGAGTCCTAGTGAGGTTAAGACCAGGTGTCTTCTAACCGCTAGATCCTGGGCAGCCCTGCCCTGCTCTGAGCCGTCCATGGCTCTCCAATGCCCCACCTTGCATCTGGAGCCCCAGCCACTTGACAGGTCAAAGGCATGGCCACTAACAAGGTGCCTACTCTTGCGTCTGTGTTTTGGTCGGGGCTGTTTGCCCATCCTCTCTCTGAGTCTCTACCTCCTGTTAGGATCGTCCTTCTGGGGCCCACAGAAGTCTCCACGCAGCTTACCCCTCTTCCCTGGCCCCCCAACCCCCTCCTCCAGCCTGTGCGCTCGCTTGCCGGACTGTGCGAGGAGAGGAAAGGGGGAGAAGTTTGCTGTGCGTGTGAATGGGAGGCGCGCAGGAAGGAGAGGGAGTGACCAGCGGCTGCAGGAGAGGCCGGAAGGCGGGGACAGGGTGGGCAGCAGGGTATAAATTCGAGGGGCTGCGTCGGGAGCAGAGAAGCTGCCCAGCCCAGCGGAGTCGCCCTCCAGACCCGGTGGCCTCCAGCCGAGACCCTTCCCCGCGGGCGGCCAGGAGGAGGGTCCCCGCGGCGATCCCGGGGCGCAGTCCGGCGGGCGGCCAGGAGGAAGAGGGCGGAGAAGCCATGAGCGCCGTGGCCACGTCGGCGCCCAACGCGTCCTGGGGGGCGCTGGCCAACGCCTCGGACGGCCCGGACCCCGAGCCGCGGCCCGTGGACGCCTGGCTCGTGCCGCTGTTCTTCGCCGCGCTGATGCTGCTCGGCCTGGCAGGGAACTCTCTTGTCATTTTCGTCATCTGCCGCCACAAGCAGATGCGGACGGTGACCAACTTTTACATAGGTGAGCTGCACGGTGCCTGCCTGCCGCTCCGGGGGTCCCCGCGAGAGGAGAGGGGCCGGGGCGCCCCGCAGCGGCGCGTCGTGGCTCCTCCACACAGGTCCTGTCCCCGCTGTCCCTGCTGTCTTGGGCTAGAGCTCCAGAGCTCTGCGGGCGAGGGTTCCATGCGGGCTAGCTCAAAGGGAGCTTGGACAAGGGCCCACGGAGAGCTCGGCCCTGCCACTTGAGGACGGTGTCCGATTAAAACGGGCTCTTATAACACCGTGTGCAATGAACAGAAGTACGGGGAGGGGCTGCGGGACCCCAGTCTGCGACCTTTGCCCCATGACTCGGTTCACACATTTGTGTGATGGGCCGGCCTACCTCGCACAGGGGGGTGCTCAGTTTTCTCTGTTCGATGTGCCGGGCGGGCTAGCACGCGACTCCAGTTTGCAGACGGGGAGACGAAAGCTCAGCGAGGCAGGGGCCTGCTCAGGCTCTTCCAGCCCAGACGGGGGTGAGCAGCGCGGACTGACGCTTGAATGGCTAACGAAGCCCGTGCTGGGGGGAAGTTTGCGATGTAAAAGTGGGAGACGGGGGGTGCCCCAAATTCTCTGCCCAAGGTGTCGGGGGCCTTCCCACCAGCGGTCCTGCTGGTTACTCGGAGAAATGCAAAGACCAGGGGGCTGGGCCAGGGGCGTTGGGCGGTTGAAGCCCCCGTGCGTTCCCCGCCTGCAGCCAACTTGGCGGCCACGGACGTGACCTTCCTGTTGTGCTGCGTGCCCTTCACGGCCTTGCTCTACCCGCTGCCCGCCTGGGTGCTGGGCGACTTCATGTGCAAGTTCGTCAACTACATGCAGCAGGTGCGCGGGCTGGGGGGGGGGTGGGGGGGGAGGGGAGGGCCAAGGGGCGGAGTCTGGGTGTGGGCGGGCTGGACCGCGGGTGGGGCGGGGCCAAGGAAGAGGTGGAGCCTGGACCGGGCCGGGTGGGAGGACCCCGCAGTTGCGAGAGATAAGGATAGGGATGCGGGATACGGAGGTGGGCATAGAGAGGGCGATCTGAGCCCTGCGGCTTCTTGCCCCGCCCGTCCCGCGATCCTAGGATGGCTCTGCCTCTCCCTGTCTCAGTCCCGGGTCTCAGCGGACCGCAAATGGCCCCCTCAAACCTCCACTATCCTGGCATCCTCTCTGGTGTCCCACTCTCCTGCCCCTTCAACCCGTGGCCCCTGGAGACCCTCCCAGGACACGTCCCGTTTGTGCCTGCGTGTTTGGACATCTGGGGGGAGCCGCAGGGTGGGCGCAGACAGGGCAGGCCCCGGGCCGAACACCGGGAGAAACGCCCAGCTCTCGGCCCTCGCAGGTCTCGGTTCAGGCCACGTGCGCCACTCTGACCGCCATGAGCGTGGACCGCTGGTACGTGACCGTGTTCCCACTGCGCGCCCTGCGCCGCCGCACGCCCCGCCTGGCTCTGGCCGTCAGCCTCGGCATCTGGGTGGGTGAGTGCAGCGCGAGGGCCGCACGGGATGGGAGGACAAGTCTTTGCGCCCTGGACACACACCCCCCCACCCCCGACTGCCCCCGTCCGGGCCTCGGTCGTGCGTGCATCTGGGAAGTGGGCTCGATATCGCTCCCCGGGAAGAGCCACCCAAGGCGCTCACCCTGAGGGCTCCCCGCGCCTGGGAGGCGCTCGGTGACGCTGCCCGAGGAGGCACCCGGGGGTACCAGGGTCCTGGCCTCCTGGCGTCCCTCGTCCCT